AAAAAAAAAAAAAAAAAAAATCATGCACGCAACTCGGCTGGTCGGCCTAGGCCGAACCGAGCCGATTCGGCCATCAGCCGAGGCCGCGGCCGATTCGGACCCCCCAGCCATGGCCGGGCGTGCAACATAGAGTGCGCCCTCTTGGTTGCGAATCTATTCTTTGGTGTGACTTTGCGGCGGTAAAGCCGGACCTTCTTTTCCTCTCCTTATCTCAGTGTAACTCTTTCCTCCGATCTTGACATCCCCGTCTGTCTCTGTCTCATTTCTCCTTCTCCTTCTTCCTTGATTTCAATGGTTCTACGTAATAAGTCAAAAGTTGGCGTGTGATGGAATGGGTATGATGACTGTGTTGGAATGATTTATTCCGCAACTCTTCCATTAGTTTCCTGGGTAGTCCTCTGATCTAGTGGGTTTTATCTTATGAACGGTGGATGCGCGTGTATCCAACGTTAAGAATTTCACCCTTAACACAACCGTGTCGGGGCATCGTATGGTTGTATTTTTCGCACCTTCTACAGTGAATGAATGTATGGAGGATGTGAATGAACAGGCACGAAACCCGCCTTGATTGAGATATTGCCGGGACGAATTGATGGCAGGAGCAATGTTGTTGGGATTCGGAAATGTAAGAGTGCTTTGATCTGTGATTATCGAGGAGCGATTGCGAGCACCTCCGCCCGGAGTGTATGACTCATGCGATTTAATCCTGTAAGAATATCAAGGAGCCGCGTGCAACCTGAGCACGAAACAGCGGCCACGTCTGGCCTCACACGAGCTTTCCTTTCCCTCTTCCCGACCTGACTGTTCCCCTCTTGACTGAAGTCTGGAATCTGCCTTTCTGATTAGACCGGTAGGATTGCATGCGTGCAATGAATGATTATGAATGATTAGAGTATTCTTGATTCTTTGCCATGTGGACTAACGGGCCCAACCCGACTGGGCGCCAGCCTCCTGTATCCCCTCTCCGCCCCTTCCCGTATAACGAGGACAGGACGCGAGTCTGTGAGTGGGACATACGAGAAGCCGTGGCAAAGATTGGCGGGCGATATTACTTCCCTCTCAAAAATCGGTGTTCTGGGTTTGTCGGCGCTGGGTTTGTCATTGTGGATACGCACTTCCTGCCGTACTCGCTACTACTACCATTTAACGAGTTAATCGTCATCCCGTGGTCGGCGGTGGCGCCCTATTGGCATAACACCTTGTGTAGTGATTGCCAACGTCTCGATCACTACCGATCGAAGGGGTTCCACTACCGAACGCGAAGCGAGGACGAGCACAAGAAAAGGGCCACGCGATTAAGACCGTCCACGTCGGATTCAGAATTGTGTAGCGTGCGGCGCCGGGAGCTAGTGCGAAAGCGGGATACTAAACACGTGCCCGTTCCCTTCCACTCCAAACGCCGAGCCGTGGCACGGTGGGAGGTCCGACAATATTTTATGGATTGAATTTAAACTCCCTCGCGTCATGTATCCCGCGCGCGCACCGTCTCAAAACCCGCGTCGCAGCCTACCAGATCTCTCACTTCATCAGACCAACACGGGGGATTTCAGTTCCGTCTGTGTCCCCACACTCAGCTGTTTTTCGGGGCCCCCTTTCTGCACCAATAGCACTCTGAACGAAAGACAGCACAGGGCGTGAGGTTGCACGTCACACCCCATTTTGCCGCTGTCCAGTTGGAGACCCCTTTCCACGCTGTCGTCACTCTGACAAGGAAAGCAGAGCAGGGCATGAGGTTAGCGTCACAGGCAAGCAAACCTCCTGTTAGGCTGTTCACAGGCAAGCAAACCTCCTGATAGGCTGTTCCCCTACCCCCACCCTTTGGAACCTGGTACAATGACTTGTGTTTTCTTTTTTACCAGCCTGGTGAGTGGACCTAAGAGTGCCCATCTTGACAGAGGTCTGTGCCTAGAGTTCCCTGGTTCGAGCTACCCCAGGCAGTGTTTAATGGCCATCTTGCCAAGTCTCCTAGGTATAACCTTTGAGCTCCTAACTCCAAGCACCCCCCACTACCTAGG